CTTGGGCTGCCTCTGCTTCCTCCTTGCAGCTTCCCGTAGATGATCCACATTTTTTGGCTTTTTGAAACTTTTGGGGTCTCCATTGTACCTTCAACTTCACACTCATAGCTTCACCCACTGCCTTCACAGAGGCATACTGCCTAACCTCCCAGACCTCCTGAAGTCAGGATGGAAGTTTTTGTAACCCCACAACTCTTGCATTTGGCATGCAACTAAAAACAGTGCCGCATAGATGGTGCCAAGGTCTGCTGCCAGCTGGAACAGTAACCAGGCTTTCCTCTCTCTCGACAGTAGTAGTCGGGTGCCTGGATCACTGGACACTCTGAATCCAATTCTGAGGAACAAATTCTCTATGCTGCTATCATTCTGGAACCTGGTGTGGCTGCTACTATTCTGGAATGTGGTGCTCTGCAGCTTTTTCTCAAAGCAAAATATTTTACTTTTGTAATGTTGAGTCTGCAAAGGGCGGATTTCTGCTGCTCCCTGTGATTTCCTCAGGCTAACTTTTCTATTCCCCTATTCCTTTGCACCAATCAAGATCTCTTCTGCTCTATCTTTGCAGTCCACAGCTTTATTGGAGATTCATTTTTGGCAAAACTCACAATGTTTTAAATCATTCTGTTGGGCTCTTTGGTCTTTATTTTCACATGAATCTGGCTAAAAGCTCCAAGAGTAGCCATGCCACCACCTCAACGTTTTACTGCCTTGAAATTTCTTCTGCCAGATTAATTAGTCCACCACCCTCAATCTCAGTCTCAGGCAAAGTTGTTAGACATGAACAAAATGCAGAGAAACTTTCTGCCAAGCCATAACACATACCATCTGGACTCCAACAACAATGCAGACCTTCTTCCCAGCAGAAACCTCCCTAGCCTGGATTTTTATCAGCTTTTTGGTCTTTTGAGCTCCAACCAGAATCTCCATACAGAACAGCCTAAGGCATTCCAGCTTTACTTTTTTACTTGGCATTTTGAAGTCTTTCCAATCTCTTCCACAAGCCATTCCCAAAGCTCTTGAACCACATGGTCAGATATAGTCACAGCAACAACCCCACTTCTGGTACCAAATTCTCTTTTAGTTACTTTTCTCTTGCTGAGACAAAAATATTCAACATCCAAAGTTAAGGAAGGAAAGGCTTATTTAGTTCACAGTTTGTGTAGGTTTTAGTCTGTAATCAGCTGGCTCCAAGGCAGGGTGGCACATAGCAGAGGGGTAACAGTTCATGGCAACAGAAGACAGCAAAAGTGACAAGAACAAAAAAGGGGGTGAACAAGCCTCTTTCCCTCCCTTATATTGTATACAGGCTACCTGCATTAGGGCAGGTGTAGCATTCACACCCCCAGTCCCAGAACTAGACAATAAACCAATCACAAACTCTAGATTCAGCTGTCTGCATAAATCCCACCCTCTGTGACTGCATGAGGCTTTGGGGAGACATCCAGACACAAACCATAACACTGTTCCTAGCTGCAGAAGGGGAAGAGGAATCTCAGAGGCAAGTGCTTGCATGCACTCACTGGCCACACAAGGTGCTAGCAGAGGCCATTGCATGTTTCCATCTCATCATTTTCCCTGTGGAACTGCTATAGGTGCTCAGGGAGTGCTGCTGACCAGAAGGGGTGCAGACAGGAGACACCTGGCTGCTCTGGGTGCTCTTTGTGGGGGCTGAGCCTCCTGGTGCCCTCTTCCACTGAGTGGGAGCAGGAGGGGCTTTCACTGGCTCAGTGGGTGCAGTGGCATGGGCTCCTTGAAGCTCTGTGGCTCATATACAAAGCTGCAGCTCTGTCTTCCTTCTTCAAGCATTTACAGAGTGCTCTGGGTTACTGGGCTCTGAATGCACGGGGATGAGAGGAATGAAGCTCCTGTGTCTCACATTGCCCTTCAGGACCTTAGAAATACCTAGGAAGTATTTGGGTATAACCTGCCTGACATCCAACAATACATATGAGAAATTTGTAAAAATTAGATTGACCTCAACAGCTACTGGAGCAGCTTTTGTAAGACCTCTTTGGCTTTTCCAAGCATGCAGAGCCATGGATTTCAAAGGGGTGACTCCTATCGATAGCACGGGTTTCCGTGGGCTTACTTAGAACATGGTAACTATTTTGAACATACCTTCTATTTACATTTTTGTTTTCAACTGACATAAAATTGCATGTGTTTATGGGGTATAAGGTGATGTTTGAAGCAGATATTCACTGCAGAATTGCTACATCTAGCTCATTAGCAAGCACCTCACCTCATATAGTGCTTGCTGTCATCCTCACCTCGTGTAGTGCTTGCTGTCATGGTGAGAACTCCCTTTTCTCTTTACTGTTTTCAAGGATGCAGTCCAGTAGCATTAGCTGTAGTTGCTCTGTCATACAGTACAGTAGGAGTTTGAACTCAGTTCTCACGTTTAACCTTAACCAGTGTCTCTTCTTCCTACCCAACTCTTTTTCCACCTGCATGCCAATCCCTAAAGTAACTTCCAGAGTACAGCCTTTGCATAGATGTTATGTGTGTGTGTGTGTGCATGCAGATTGGCATGATAAAACCACTCACCAAGTAAAAAAAAAAAACCCTCTGTGAAATGTAGGGCTCTTATTTATGGAATCCTAGGAAAGGCATTTATGCACTGTCCCGGGCTAATGAAGGCAATTAGATAACAAAAGGTTAAAGCACGAAGAAGCTGTTAAATCAACTCTTCAGATTAATGGTCTGCAGCAAGACACTCCCCAGGGCTACATCAAAGCTCAGAGAGCTGGAGAGATGAAAAATGTATTTGCATACGCTTTGTATGTCATTAGCATATATATACTTGGCACAAAAGTCTTGGCCAATTTTCAACTTATAGATTTTCCTTAAAATTGTGGTCCCCACTTTTCTAAGCAGACTCCTCTAGTCCCTGTGTGAACGCGGAGCAGTGATGAAAGAGAGAGTTACGATTGTTGTGTGGTGACAAGCCAGCAAACAAGGTGCAGAGACAGCAAGCATCACCTAGACACCGCCTTGGGCTGATGTCCAGAGATTGTCTCATACGAGGTAGGGTGCGGGGGGTCGGGGGACATCACTTCCACTTCCAACCTTTCCTTCTGAGGGAACCCACCCAGTCTCCAAGTCCCCAAGGTCCAGAGCCAGGCCAAGGTTTCAAATCCCTGGTGGGGAAAAGTAGCTGTCAATGCTAGTCGTCTCAGGACACACTTTTCAGGCCAGTGCTCCCCTTGAGCCATGGAGTGCTTCCTTCCAGCCACCAAGTTCTCAAATAAACAAGACCCTGTGTTCAGAAGCCAGGTATAAGTCACATGCACGTTACTATAAATCCCTAGCAGTCCGTTCATTCAACAGTAACTGGTGCACATCCACCTCCTATGCAGAGGGGCTAAGGGCCCAGGCAACAGTCACTTTCCATCCGATTACGGTCCTCCCGTGTGCCAAGCAGAGCTCTAAACTCCATAGTGACCCCGAATGAGTAGGACACAGAATCTGTCTTTAACTAATTAATTTATTTTTGAGACAGGATCTTGTTATATACTTCAGACTGGCCTTGAATTCACTATCTAGCCCCGGCTGGCCTTGAACTCACAGGGATCCTCCTGCCTCAGCCTCCTGAGTACTGGGATTATAGGTGTGCACCACCAAGCCAGGCCCAGAATTTGTCTTTAAAGAATTTATCTCCTAAAAAGACAACTACAAGGCTTTTCTTCCATATGCTTGAAGTCATTCCAATGTACGTTATGAAAGTGGAGGAGATTGCTCTCAATAATTCAGTCTGTGAAATGAAGGGGAACTGTTCAAAAGTAAAGAGCAACCGGGATGAGGGAAAAGAAAACAGAAAGAAGAGGAAAATTATGTATATATGTATATACAGGATAGCTAGCATAGTTGTACTACGGACTTATGTCACTTCATTGCAAGAAACAGTTAATGATTAATTATTTGATCAATCTTGCATGTCTATATTTGTTTTCCTGAATAACCACTTTGAAGTTATCAATATAATACAACAACCATTGTTAATTCCCTGTCATCTTATCTATAATTCAGTATTGCTTGCACTATTCTTGTGCTACTGTGTAAATGGTTGTCTACTTGCTAATATGTTTTTGTTCTTTTGCTTTTAAAACAAAAAATAATTATAATAAGTCAGCCTGGATCCTATCGTCCTGAAGGTACAAAGCAGCACAGACAAGGACTGCATCCAAGTGGGGTTCACTGACCCAGCAAGATGGGAAGTGGGGGCCAACACGGAGCCAAGGAGGGTGCAGAACTCTTCCTCTTCCCGGAGAGGGTTGGGAACATCTGCTTGCACCAGACTTTCAGTGCATTGATTTCCTTCTGAGGCTTGGGATCTTTGTTAGCTTTATCTTTCGTTTTTGTGTCTTAGACTTCTTTGTACAGGAAATAGTTCTACAGAAAAATACGGAACAAAGAAATGAAAGCCCAGCACACAATACACTGCCACCTGTCAGAATCCACAGTCTGTCTACTGAGGTATTTTGTCACCCTTGGGGCTTCACATACTTCCATCCTGGACATCCCAGCCCCTCTGTGGGCCCTTCTGGGAGAGGCAGTTCACTCACAGCAGCAAGCCTGATGTCAAGACAGGCCAGGGAGAAGAAGTGTCCCACACGGAGCAGCGCAGGGAGCAGGAAGTGGCTGGGAGCTGCTCAGCGAAGCCTGGCTTCCTGGGGCCGGCCGACTCCTGGGATGTCCAAGTCCTGGTGCCAGCAGGCTACCTCCCACCAGCCGTCCAGCGGGAGCAGCCCTCACCCAGCCCACATCACGGCGCTCACCCGGCTCACATCACTACACCCGCGGCAGCCTGCAGCTTGCAGCTGGCACTGGGCTGCCCAGCAGCCTGGCACCAGCCCACTGTCCCTGAGCCGGGTGAGTTTATACCTTTCTTTTTGTTTTGTTTTTTTGGGACAGGGTCTTGCTATGTAGTTAAGGCTGCTTTTGAACTCACTGTATAGCTCAGGCTGGCCTCGAATTCAAGGCGATCCTGCCTCAACCTCACAAGTGCTGGGATTTCAGGTGTGCAACAGCATGGGCCAGGTTATAGGTTACACCTTGATGGAAAAAGAACTAAGACTATTAAACTTCTGTTTCAAAATACGTAGAAACAGAGAGGGGCAGGTCTGAGTTCCAAAGGCCCCACCAGGCCCCTAAGCTCTGGGTGCTTAGGACAGAGCTGCGGCCTGAGGCACTGGCCTGTTGCTCACCAACAGTCACTCCGGGACCACAGAGCAACAGCGCGTGGAGGAGCTTGCCCTGGATCTCTGAGCGCAGCCGCACTTTCCAGCTGTTGAAGTTGAAGGTGGCAGAAGCGCTCTGAGGCCAACATGCCTGAGGCTGAACCCCAGGGACCAGCGTCTCCTCCCTGGGGCTTCCCCAGAGCCAGGGACACACAGCCAGAGCGACAGGCGCCACCAGGCCCCTCAGGCCAGGACTGGCCTCTGCCTCCAGCCTCAGGCTCCCTGGTCCCCCAGTCCCCCTCTGCGCTCCCGGGAAGCAGGCGTGTGGAGTGGAGAGGGCTGTCCCATCCCTCCAGAGGTCACAGCCAGCAATTCTGCCCCGAAGCACCGCCTTCCCATGCACGGAGCTCACAGGCGCATGGAGCTGTCTCTCTTTGCTCGAGCCTTAAGGGACACAAGGAGACAAAAGTGGACAACATGAATCAGTGTGTGCTGCTGCTTGCAACCAGTGAGGGTGGGACTGTCTGGGTATGCTCAGTGAAAGCAATAGTTGACTGACTAACTGATGTGAAATTGGGCGCTGCCATTAGTGGGGCTGTCTCAGAAGCAGCCTGGGCTTCCAGACACACTCTTGTGCCGGCACATAGAGGACACTCCGGGCTGTGTCCCCTGCTCATCATAGGTGCTGAGATGGACTCTGGCCCCTGCCTCCTCTTCTGCAAGTCCCTGGAACCTGGAAGGAGCGGGCCCCCTGGGGCTCAGAGGACATTGTCCTGGGATCTGCAGCTCACGCTGTGTGGTGCTGGCTTGGAGCCTCGGCGTGTCCAGCTGCGGAGTGGACAGAGTTTTGCCTGGGCCGGAGGGTCTCTGTGAACAAGCATCAGAAAACGCTGACTCGGGCAGCATTCTGTACAGCACGCCTGAAGGACAAGGCCACTCAAGGATGCACTGCGGCTGAGAAGGCTGCTTTACCTGTGGGGAGGAGGAGGGCGGGCTGCGGACTCACTTCCTCTCAAAAGATCAGCAGGGGCTGGGCATGGTGGTGCATACCCGGCATCCCAGCACTCTGGGAGGCTGAGGCAGGAGGATGGCAAGTTCAGGCTCAGTGGAACTTAGTGAGAATCAGTCTCCAAATAAAAAGGTGCAAGGGGTGCAGCTTGATATGAAGGCCCCAGGTCAAATCCCCAGTACTGAAAAACAAAAAGGGCCCACTGGGAAGAGGTAGTTGGTAGCCACCTGTGCCTGTCCAGCTGTGACCAAAGGGCAGCCCAGGAATGGAAGGGTAGCAGCCTCACCCGAGCCCAACGACACAGGCTAAGCTTGACTCTGAGTCCGGGGTCCTCTGAGACTGCCGCAGCGGGCAATCAGCGCTGCCCCCGTGGCTCCTGCCTGCAGAGGGCTGACTAGCACATGCCCCATGCCCTCCCTGCCGGCCAGCCCAGCCCCTGGTCCTCTCCCAACCACAGAGGGAAGGTTTCCTAGTGCGTCTCTGGTGACAGCAGTTACAGCGACAGACTTCGGCTGTGCTCGGGGCTCAAGACCTGGAACTGAGCCCCCTGGCAGGGTCCCAGGTCGCGGGGTTGGCTGCCAGACACTTAACTTCCTGCAGGGGGCAAACTTGTTCGCATCGCTTGGAGGACAAATGCCCCGGTCCTGGCCACGCTGCCTGGGGCCTCTCTCCTCAGCTTGCTGCGAGGGCCCTGGGGAAGGACCAGGCTCCAAGACCACAGCAGCAGGGCTGAGACTTCTGGCGCTGTCTCTGCTGCTCTGCGACCTCAGAACAGTCACTGCCTGCCAGGGGGAGAAGTCTCCCGTGTGCCTGTTTAAGGTGATGAGACCACGCATGGTACAGAGATGTGGGGAACGCTTAAATTTAAAAGCATGTTTCAGAAAAAGACACATCTTGATGAATCCCACTCAAAATCCTCCCCTCACTCTGAGCACATCCATCCCATCGTCCTCACCGCTCCCCGCAGCAGCTCTGGAGTCCTCTTTCCTGAGGGTCTTTAGCTGCGCTGTCCTGGCCGCTTCTGTGTCCTGAGTTGATTCGAAACATTTCCCTTTTGTGCTCGTTTTGACTTTGGGTGGAGCCGGAAGTCACAGGGTGAATAAGGGGGCTGAGGACAGAGTCATGTTTTCACGAGCTGCCTTTCTGTTGGATGAGCCTGGCAGCAGCAGTCACTGCGATGTTTTATCACCCTTGGTAAAACACCGAGGAAAGAGGACTCCAGAGCTGCTACAGGAAGTGGGCAGGAGGACGGGAAGAGCGCTGGAAGTGCAGGGGAAGGTTTACAAGGGGACTCGTGGCCCTGCGTCTTTTACTGTGATAGACTTTTAAATTTAATCACTAACCGTGTACTTGTGTCACTCTTGTAATTTCTACTGAGAACAAAGTAGAGCAGGCGTTTACAGCAAGGGTCTGGGGTGCAGCATTTCCCATACAGTTGCTTCAGTTGAAATCTTTAGATTACCACCAGGCTCAGAGAAACCCATATGGCAACAATGTGGGGGCCCATTTTCCCTGTTTTTCCTTCAGTCACCAGGACGAAGGCACGGGGCACCAGGTATGCCCCAGAACCGGACACACGCCAGTCTTAAAACAGCGAGGGGGAGTCCACACAGCCTCTGCAATGTGCACCCTGCGGGGTCCCCCCCAGTGCACCTGCCGGCCGCTCCCACCACGTGGCATCGCCTTGGAGCACACAGCAGGGGAGCGCAGCGCTTCTCCTGCCATGCATGACAGCCTTTCCTCACTCACTGCGGCGCTCTGACGCTCAGGATCTTTGAGAACACTGCTGTTGTGTAGCCAGTTCTCTGGGCTCCGCCCTTGCACACTGACCGTCTCCAGAGCAAGTCACCCCAGAGGGTCCCCCACCTGCCCCTAAGCAAGGAGCCCTCGTCCCCAGCTGGGGCCCAGTCGGTTAGAACCATGGCCCCATCCCCACAAGCGCGACCCAGGGCTGCGGGGTGCAGATCGTTCCGGTCGCCCATTCCCCGACACGTTTTCAGAGGTGCTGGTCCCTAAACGCTGCCTTTCTCCTAAAAACTTCCTCTTGACTCCACACGAGAGTCGGCCGCGCTCCCCTCCAGAAGCCCCGCAGGCGTCCGGCTCCCAGACCCCTCCTTTCCCCGGGCAGGCCGCGGAAGCAAGAGCGAGCGGCTTTCCTCGCGCATCTTGTTTCAGTTAGGCATGAAGCAGAACCTTGGAAACAGCTGGGGGGCAGTTCCTGGCTCCGAGTGAGGTTCCTCAATTCCGACCCATTGTAGGGGTATTGCTTGAGGTTCTGTAGCCGGCGACGCTGATGGAAACTGCTGATTGTGCGGGGAGATTGATCAGACAGGCTCGCAGGACCAGAGCCCGGGAGAGGCCCCGACAGCCTCCGCGCCGCAGGGCCGAGGACCGGTGTGGCTCGGCCTGGGATGCCGGAAGCTGCACTCGGGGAGGGACATGAGCCTGGCCGGAAGCCACCCGGAGTGGCACCAGTGCAAGTGCCGATGGGAGGCTGGAGAAGGCGGAGTCTGACATCCACAGGCGACAGCGACAAGGAGGTGTGAGCTCCTGCAGAGAGGAGCTGCTCAGAAACTGCACCCACTCCCTCCTGCCCTCCCTCCTGTTCCATCCAGGCTGGAACCCTGCTGGCTGGTGCCCCCACAGTCAGGGCATGTCACCCCTCCTGCTGGCCCAGCTGCCAGTCACCTCTGGACACACCCGCAGATGGTCGGAAGCTGCTGTCCCGGTCGGCGCGGTACACTGACACCGCAGGGATGGTGGTCACAGCAAAGCGGCGCGAAGGAGCTTCAAGTTCAGCTTAACAGTGTAGACATTTCTCCCTCAGACCGTCAGGCTGCTGTCCCCAGCACTCAGAAGGTCCTGGCACTTCCCACCCGACCGACAGCGTGGCTGGGGAACGTGAGGTTTGCAAGACCCTGCTCCCACAGGAGGGGGAGGGCTGCACTCACCCCACACCCGCCCCCTCCCACCATCACGCAGTGCTCAGGATCCACCCTGTGAATTCCGGGCAGACAAGCAAGCACTTCCCCCCACCCCAAATCTTGGTCTAAGAGTGACTCACCTGCGGGTGAGCATCAGAGAGAAGGGGAGAAAGAAAGAGGGGGGAGCAGCATCCACGCCAAAGGCAAAGCAGCGGGGAGCCATCTCCGGGGAAGGGTTGCTGGGGCAGGCGTGCGGGTGCACACCTGTGAGCCCTGCACTCGGGAGGCTGAGTCAGGATGACTGTGAGTTCTTATGCCCAGCCTGGGCAACTTACTGACTTGACTGAGACCCTGCCTCAAAATAATAAATACATTTTAAAGGGGACAGGAGTTAGGGATATAGCTCAGTGCACAAGTCCTGGGTTCAATCTCCAGTACAGCAAAAAAAAAAGTACATGGGAATAGCAGTCTCCTCCCACTACGTAAGGATCAGGAGTCTAGGTCTCAGCTGTGCCACCATTTCAAAGTTTTGATGAAGTAACTGAAAACATACGACATGATAATTACATGTTATTTTTAAAAATTGCTTCAGTGACTGTATATTAAAATTAACAACATTCTCTTTTCCTAAAATTTTCTGCTGTTTTCAGTTTTTTTAAAAAACAAGTGTTTCCAAACCAGGTGTAGTAACAGTCGTTTGCTAATTCTAGTAAAGCATTTTCAGAATGGCATTTACAGTTTGACTGGGTAAGGCGTTCAGACCAGGAAATGCAAGGGAGGGCCGGCAGATCCTGTGACCTGGCGCCTCCCACAGGCAGCCCTGGGGACTGCAGCCGCCAGTTGCTAGAAGAGCTCCCAGCAGCTTCCTAGGCGAGCTCCCCCACACACAGCTTCCAAGAGGTACTCAGGGTGGGACGTTTCCACAACATAACATCTGCCAGACCCTAGCACCAATTTTTTGAACAAGATCACTCAGTCCTTAAAACTATGAGAATAAGAATTAGGAGCTGAATTAATGCCGAGTCTATTTCAGCTATAAATAAATATAAATTCTTCTATACCCTACCACTTTGTTTGTAACTCTGTATTGTCTGTACTGTGCTTGTGATATGTTGTAAAACGTTGTATGTCTGTTAATGTTTCCCTCCTTTTATCTTTAAAATAAATAAATAAATAAATTCTTCTATAATTGCATAAATTCATGGATATAAACCTATCCACCTCATTAAGAAACGTACTTTCAGTAAAGTTTTACTTTTCATGTTTACTCCTGATGTGTAACATTTTACGGTGTGCTCACAGTGCTAGGATCGGCTTCCACAGTTATGCACTGCAGTGATCTCAGATCAGAAGTATGTGGGGCGCTAGGCTCGCTGGAATTGGGGCAGGGAGGACAGAACTTTCTACAGTTTCCGTGCAGTCACTGAAAAGTCTGTCGGGTGATCAGCACAATACATGAGAATCAGTTCTTTAGGAAAGTACAATTGAAAGGAAGGACAGAAAATGAGGAAATGTATGCTCTATTTTTAATCAACTCATTCATATGTCTTTTACATGGGTGACAATAGATTTCAAATTCCTGAGATATTTAGATTCCACTAGGTTTATTTTTTCAAATGATAGGACATCTTTATTTTAAAATGGTAATGTTCCGAATACATCAGAAATTATAATATTTCAAGTAATAAGACTTATAAATAAAAGACTTAGCTTTTCAAACTTGTGTTATGGTTAGTAAGAGAATGTTAAAGTCACTGATTGAGAGTATATTATATGGTAGAAAGTAAGAAACTGAATATTCATTAAGCACTGATCTTGGAATTTTTCTACTGGATACATCACATCTCAGCTGAGAATGACCTTTGACAGCACAGCTTTACTCTATAGGATCAGAGCTGAGGGATAACTGTTTTCTTTTTGTCTTTCTCCTTCTCCTCCCCTCCTCCCTCTTTTTCTTCTTTTTTTTTTTTTTTCAGTATTGGGAATTGAACCCAGGGCCTTCCCACTGAGGTATACCCCCAGCCCTTTATATTTTTTATTTTGTTGTTAAAGTCGTCCAGACTGGACTCAAACAAGCAATCATTCTGCCTCAGCCTCCTAAAGAGCTTGGATTACTGATGTACCTAGTTCTATTTCCTTTTGAAGCATTTCCCTGAGAATATGACTTTCATCTTCTTCTCTTGAGGTACAGCTAATTGGGTCTCAGTGTCCCCTGCTCAGTTTGGGACCCACCATTCTGGGGCTGCTGGGAAAGTGACTCCCAGCTCCTCATGGAGGAACCAGGCCCAGTGAAGAGTTGTCATCCTGGCCTGAGGGAGAACATGCCAAGAGTTCTATGTGCCCTAGTGTGAAGGGTGGTGATCTCAGTAAAGCTGGAGTGCCAACTCCAGGAAGTAATTTATCCCTTTTAGCGGTAATTTCCTGCTACTCACAGGAAAACGGGCTTTGAGACACAGCTGTCCACCTTGCTCAAGCAAGGACTATACTTGGGGAGGGAGCGAGTCCACACACATTTGCTGGACATTTATTTGCCATGAGATGATCTCCAAAGTGCAAGGAAGAAGGCAGCCCACTGAGCTCACACAATGTGAGAAGAGATTTCTCGAGACGCTGTTGTCCTGGGAGAGTTTGCACACAAAGCTGAAGGCCGTTTGTCATAAGAAGAGTACATAAATCACTTTCTGAAAGGATTGGTATCATACTTTCTTTGTCATGGATGTTGACAATGTAAGTAACAGTGACAGTTGAGACATTGTGGAAGTCTATGTTAATAGACGCACGCTTCAGAGCAGAGGCTTAGAAATCAGGTCCTCGCTCTGTGCCAGGCAAATTCTCAGTGAAAACTAAAAACAGTAGCTTGCATGTTTCTGAGAGGAGGATGCAAACTTGTAACAGTATGGCACG